TTGAATTCCTGAAATGGCTAGTGTTTTCAAGGTGTTCTTCTGACCGGTTTTATCATTCTGATGAGACTAATCAGTAGTTTTCCAATCCCTCCCCCCCCCTTCTTCTCCCCACCCCTCTTTCAGTCCTTCTCGAGTCCGTCTTCCTTTTGTCCATGCCATTGGATTCGTATCTACGTGAAGTGAAGAAGGGTTTACCTTATGAAGAAGTGGAAATGGAAGAAAATGACCATTTCACACTGAAATGAATTGTAAAAAACAAAGGGCAAAGGGCACCGTTGAACGCCTTCGTAGTAGTCCTTGCTGATTAATTGACGGATGGACGACGGTATTAGGGATGAAAGATCTTGGTCACTTGATAAAGGGTAATTTCTTTGCACTAATTTCGACGTTCTTACGGTGTTACCGTATTCAGTCAACAGTATCCATGACGCGCTCCCGTGAATTCAAAACTTGCTTGAAGCCAAATCCAATGATGTGGAATCGTAACCACCAGATCTTTGAAACTTTAAACCCCCTTCGATGTCGCACGTTACGACTCATCAAATTATCGATTAAATCTCTCTTTTATCCAAAATAGGGCGCATGATCTTTGTATGAGGACTGAAGGACCAAGCTCTGGCGTAGATAAATCCATTTCGTAGAAGCGCCTTTGCATTCGATCCCATTCAGAAGTGTGGCCTATACAATGATTTGATGTGGCCACCCAATGTATAAGTCAGTGCTTGTACCTTCCCGAACAAGTGTGATTCCAATTAGCTGACCAGGGAGGGATAGAAGACTTGGTTGGCCTGGGAAGGTATTGACCGGGGATTCGATCCTCGGACCATGCGTAGGTGATAGTGGGGCCACGCTCCTGCCACCCTTGGCCCCATATTCTCCGTTTCCCTTAGATATCGAACTGTTTAAGCTGAAAAGCAGAATCACGGAGCAGGAAAGGTGATATTTTGTAAACTGCTGGGAGTCGTTGACTAGGCACGGGTAGTATGCCATTCTACACGAACTCCTTCTGCTTCGTATTTTCACGACTCACTATAAAATTTTACACCTTCTACCATAAACGAGAGTTAATTGGTTTTACATTTAGAATAAACATCTTGACTTTAAGGATGGGAGACATTGGGTGGACTGGAAATTTCAGAAGGAGTACCGTCTCTCGGAAACAAAGTAGCGCTACAGTATGATGCAATTGTGTTTATTCCGAGAATCAAAAATTTTCTTCAGATGGACGTCGTATGATTGACGGCAAGATTGAGCCTGGTTCTTCGGAGACGGCAATGAGTTTGTGGGAAACAACACTTCGTAGAGGAGCGATCACTACACAAATGATGCCCACCGCCGATAACGATGACCAACCTGCTGGAGAAGGAAGTAAACGTCAAGCCGAAGAAAGTATGATTTGAAGTAGATTCTAAGCCTCACAACCCCCGAATATTATAAAGTAAGTACCTCGGAAAGGTCCCTTTTCAGGTGCGTACTGCTCACATTTATAGCTATTCCAATGGTGGGGCACCAGCAGCTTCTAGTGGCCCCCAAAAATTCACTACAGTAAAAACTCATAACTTGACGATCGTTTTCAGGTTGTCCAGAGACTACAAAATGTTCGAACCCGGTGGTGGTTTATGCGCCGAATAAACGTCATGGAGAGGGTCTCAGTGAAGAACACTTGAAGTCGTTCACAGAAGTAAAACCCAGGCAGACTGTCACCTACACCAAAGGTCAGTATAACTTTGCAACAAAGATTCGCCGAATGACTTTGTAAGACGTGACATCAGAAGAATAAACTCCACGTTAACAATAATCATGTGTCCTTGATTAAAGGCATCGTTTACGATAAATTTAGGGTACCCTTTTTTGACGGAAATTCATAGAACTACTCTGGATTAAAGCGATAACAACGAAAAAAGCGCAAACAAAAAGAAATAGAAAGGGTCAAAAAAGAGCTGGAAAGGGGGGTTGGACGAGTTTCACATTGGAAGAAGGGCGGTTAAGGGAGTGTTCGGGCGAGTGCAGGAAGGCGACGCGATGTAGCAGTCAACACACCCAAGCAGATAACTTCGCCCAATGCGAAAGTGATGAACGGCAATTAGATTTCGTAGTCAGCCTAGCGAGGGGCGGAGGCCTCCCGTCCCCCACTGTTCCTGCCCTTATTGTGCCCTATCCAGACGGTTTTCGACCTCATTCTTGCACAAATGGTATCAGAGGGGGCGTCGAATTCAAACCATGTGCAGATCTCCAAAACCATTTTCGTGAACAGTGTCCTTAAGACTCCAGTACTTCACTACACTCTAAAAAGTCTCAAAAGTACTCCAAAAAGCAGGCGTCAGGGTCTACACAATAGAGTCCTCAAAGCAAAAATTTATTTATTTATTTATTTTGATGCACGCAGAGGTGCGCCCTAATAAAACAGTGAAGTAAAACATCAACGACATAATCGAGTCAACCTTACATCGTTTGATTAAGATTTGTTTAGATTAATAAGAAGTAGTTAACTCAAGATCGGGCGAATGGAACTCAACAGGCAGATGGCGCTAGTGATAACACCACTCCCAGAGAACATGAAATATGTATATATACATATATGGAATCTGAAACCGAATTTTCGGATGTTAGGTATTCCCTAGCCCTGACAATGCAGCTTCCGCCCTTATTTCAAATTGGCCTATGGCTACCTTCAAGATTCTCTCGAGATCTTGTGGATAGTACCACATCACTATTATCCGGTCTTAAGATCTTCACCAATCGCGTAAGGTACGCGTAAGGTACAAAAATTTAGAAGGACATTAACTTAATGTCGTAGATGTGTGATAAAAGGAAAAGCGAAGCGGAGCGAACACAAAACAAAACTATCAAAACAAAAAACAAGGGATACAAACAAAATTAATAAGTTATGTCATCAGTCTCCAACTTCTCTCTTGTTTTAACCTCGGCAATGTCGTTTACGTTGTTAAAATATGTCATCGGTATCATCAGGGTAAGAATTAAGCGATAAAGTCTCAAAAGATAGGAATTCAAAGGACAGGACAACACATAGAAGAGCGATCCAGAGCAGAAATTACTAATGCCCTTTGCACTTGCACTGCACTGTCGACTTCCCAAAAATCTTGGTCAGCCTTGTCCATGTTAATCGTGCTCAAGCCAGCTGCCGTGGCCAGTTTGCTGTATTCACATTCCAGCCGCCAACGTGCTTAACTATGTACTAAATTACGTCCATCATCCTTTTGTGCTTTCTTTTGTCAACACACTTGGCGTAATACTGTATTCTACCGTAACCGGCATAGTCGACCTAACATCGTATTCTACCGTAAGCGGCTGGTATGAAAATCATTTCAAGATGGCAGCTATTCTTTGGCAGTCATGTAGTTGAAATCATAACATAGGCTAGCAGGCTGTAAAGGCAGAAATGACACAGCTTTCGTACTAGATAGAAGCTTCTTAGTATTACTTAAATAGTGAAGTCTACCGTACACCTTATTCCCTTCTGTGTTGATGTCTGGAATCGCTTTGATTTCTTTTATTGTTGTGTCGTTTGATAGTAAGTAGCCACAATTTTCGGTTGACTGCTTTGAATATTTAGCTGACTCGTACAGTGATTCGCCGTCTGTAGACTCTCCTTTATTCACCACTTGAAGACGGTTACCGTACCTGCAGGACTCCATTTTGTTATATGCTTGCCATTACTGCCTTGATCATCTTCGATGAAGGATGTCAATAAAAGTGTTCGCCTGTTGCTTTGCTTGTTAGTTCAGGAACCATTGAAACTTGTGGTAGAACCAAATCGTCGGCTTCCCTTCGTGTACTTCAACCAATTCATCCACTTTGTTGTTCCTCTGTGTTGCTTGCTTTCGCCTTTGATTGTGTTTGCTTTGGTGAGAGAAAAGCGAATTCGTAGTGTAGATGTAGCTAATTTTGCAGTAATTTTTCACTCTTTTCTAGGAACCAATTATGATCTCGATAATATTTATTTATTTTTATATGTGCATGTTTACCCAATGTCAAAAAATTACTGTAAAAGGCTCAACAACGAACAAGATGTGCCACACCTAACAATTAATCCAATGAATAAACAAGTCTACCCATTGGCAAGATGAGAAATACAGGTTGTCAAACCCTCCGGAGGCATCCGTCAGATGGCCGAAGGGCAACGTGGGAAAATCGTTCACAAAGGAGGAAGGAACTGAGTCTACCTACGTTTACCAATCCCGTTTTGAATGTGCCCCACCTTGGATTTCTAACCAGAATCGTGGTGGTGGGTGAGTGGCGGTGGTGGTCAGCCGATGTACCAGTCAGGGTTTTAATTCTCTCAGACTAGTCGGTAACTCTCACTCGACCCCGGAAGATAGGGAGGAAGGCCTGGTTGGTCTGCGCAAGTGTCGAGCCAGGATTGTATCCTAGAACCATACTATTATGGTGTGGTATGCTTGCCACTACACCACCTAAGCCCGAAAATCGTCTATATGCTCGAGAACAGTCGGAAACACGCCTTACATAATGTGAAGAAGAGCAATTTCTAGCTGAACTGATTGGATATCTGGGCCAGCAGAATCGGTGTTCCCCTCAAAAAGGAGAGGCGAGACGTTTCAGTGGATCGGAACAGGTTGTGGGTATAGTGGACATATCTAACACCTCATCAATTAGCTGAGCCTAGTTTTCGGAAGAACAATCACTGCCAATCTTTATGGACTTCTTGTGGTCGACTGTCTTAAATGAGACCATATGGACGTCGTCCCACTTATATTTCTTCCTTGGTGCAAGGTTGGCTGTTGGAAATGGCGAGTTCGTCTGCCCAGGTTGTGCTGTGCACTCCATGATCGATAATCTCACATTCTCATTTTTTCTCGTACACCGATGTGATCGAGATGTACTTTGCTATCCTTGAATTATGTTGGAGAGACTTAAAACCGAACAGCGCTTTTCGTCGTTTTTCATAAAAATCCATGAATGGCCCCAACATCGAGTTCCTTACCTTCAGAGTCTGCTCTGATGCCGAATGATCTTTGATTGATGGGCGTGAAATTCTTCAACAACTGCACCCGTGAGAGGCCAGTCTCATAGCTTTCTGCGATTGCTCGGAATTTCAACGGAACCTCATTCATGGGCTGTGCTGACGTCTGAATAGGAACAAATGGCTGCTTTCATAGTCCGCCGGCCGGCGTGCCGGCGTGGAGGCATTGCTAGCGGGGAGGAGGGAGGCAGACGGATAGGCAAACAGTCCACGCCCCTTCGAGGGGTTGAAAACAAACAACCTTCGAAGGGGCGTGGACTGTTTGCCTTACACTGTCTGCCTCCCNTGGCTGCTTTCATAGTCCGCCGGCCGGCGGACTATGAAAGCAGCCAATATTGCTTGTTACCAATAAATGTTAAGCTGGCAAACAGACCAATAATGAACAAATACAGTACGATTTTTAAAAATGTAATAATTTGAGGAAACATTACTATCAAGATAAATAGAGTTATGAATAACCCAGAGCAGCTTCACTGCTCACCTCTTCAGCATCTCCTTCAATAATAGGGCTCAGGGAGGGAAGGAGGCCACCGTCTCAACATTTGAGCGTAAGGGTTTCTCTCCCGCAGTAGATAACCATTTTGAAACTTCTAGTTCTGCGATCTTTCTTATCTTTCTTTTCTGTCGAAGTTCTTTCATCTCAATGGTCCCCGAGGAAAAGCCCTCCAGAACGGAAAAGGTTGTCGATGAAATAAATTACAATTGCAGCTGTGAAACTTGCTTTTGTATCACTTTATCTAATGACCAGAGAAATCTGCTACAGTGTCTTCAAATTTTGAACTGTTTTCATGTCGTAGGCTATACTATTTTGATGTTTAGATGGACGTCGAATGATTGATGGAAAGGTTGAAGACACGGATTCGGGAGATGCTGCACGACTATGGGAAGAGACCCTGCGAAGAGGTGTGATCACAACTAAAATGATTAGCGAAGACAAGAAGCAACAGAAAGACAAGGACAAAAAAGAAAAAGAAAAGTGTTGTGAGTATTAAAAGTAGCCCAACTGCCCAATTTACTTTTTGCTGCTGCTGAACACTCAGTTTGTTCTTTCCGAGCCCCCGGCTAACAAATTGTAGGGTAACAAAAAAGTACGCTTACCTACCTGTAACGTTGATCCATAGGCATTGATGGGCGAGGAACAGCCGCTGAACTCGGTGCTTCTATCCTATCTACCCACACGAAAGTGATCCTAGTTAACCTACCTCTGGACGGTGACTTTCCTTGCTTGGGTGGTTACGGGTCTAGAAACTAATCTCTCCTTTCCGGTAGTGGCACCACCCAGAAACACCGCCATCGATCTCCCTCCACACATTTATGGCTTTGTAGCAGGAAAGGGCAAGTGGTGAAGCCAACATTAACTTATACCAAAAAACAAGTACAGTCACCCAAACTGTTCTCGCTCAAGGGCGTCATTTTCAGCTCGAGCGGTCAACATCGTGGATCACGTGCTTTTTGCTTCAACGAAAAAGAAGTAAACCGAAACTTATAATAGCAGTAAGATACTCCACAACTGAATCTCAGCCAGAAAGTATCCTGGTCAAGGTTAGTAATTATGATCACTAGCGATTCGTCTTTACTTGTTATTTTTGTTATTATTATTACTTAGTGATATATATTTTCAACTTTTTCTAAATACAACTGTCTTATCCTTTGCCCCAACATAGCGAATTGTGGTTTTTTCGACATCAGACTGTCCATTAACTGCGATGGAGTGACTCATGGTCGTCCTTCAATCACTGGAATGCCGCCCACAGTCTAATGATATTTGTCAGCGACCCATGGGAATTTCTTCTAACTGGATCGGATTGGAGGCACCTATCATCATTCATGCGGTATTCTCAGAAGCGGTCCCCATCCGATCCCATGACATGGTGAAATTGATTCTAGATGGGTGAAGCTGTAGTACGGGGTGATCGACTGTGGTGCAGTAGGATCGAAATTGTCGCGTCGCGGCGAAGGGGACACCGTGCGCGAAGGAACATAACAGAATGCAGCGGCAGGTCAGAAATACAGGAACAAAAGAACTAACAGTAGAATCATGCCTTAAAAATAATCGCATATCGATTGAAGTGTATGAAAAACGCTGGAGGTGTAGTAAAAAGTAGTAAAGCGAATGGTTCGCGGCAGCCGCGCGCGGCAAATGGATTACACAACACCGATCCTATTGCCCGCCTCCCACTTTGGCAAGCGCATCATACTGTGAAGAAAACAATCNGTTATTGTGAGCCTCCCCAGAAGCTATACCCTCCTCGTGGCGCTTCAGAGGTAGGAACGTTTTGCAGCGGCATGATGTAATCAACGGGCTCAGGAATGAAAGGAGCGACCTTAAGGGAGATTTTGTGGGCTTGTATGCAACTGCGTTCCCAGTGACTTCAACATTTTGACCCCATGGCGTGTATTTACCGACGACCCAGCAGTGTTTATAGTCAGAGTCCCGATACGCCCACATGCCGCGACGATTTTTAGATAGTTGTCTCACCATGCGACATAACCATTCAAGCCTTTCTATTATCAATCTTTATGATGTGATATGATCTATTACAAAGGCTTATGATTCATTTTTTACCAATGCGATGAGATTTATGCAATTTCAGTGTATATACAAATCAAATATTGCGTGTAGTGAGTGTTAGACGATCGGTTCCTACGCCAGAAGATCGATCGCCGGTGCCGTTTTCTTCCATGTCGATGGTGTTAGATCGATCAATAGATCTGCAATTGATTTCTCATAACCGACATGACTTTTGATCGAAATTTTTATTGATTTAAGATTGGAATCTACTTCTTAAGATTATCATCATGACTTCTGATTGTATTGTATTGATTGTTGTGATTGATTGTTGTGATTTATACTCGATGATTTATTCCCCATATGACCCTTAGGTGTCGGGGAAACTCGTTTAAATTTAGACTTAGTGTGTTTGTCCTAAAGAATAATTATAGCTTTCATTGATTCCATTGTAAATAGATGTTTTTAGATAGTAAACATAGAATAAACAACCTTCACAGTGAGCAGGAACTACTGGTTCTACATCAATTATATCGGTGACTATTGTGATTGGAACCTGCAATAAGAATCTTTCTCCAAGGAGTGACTGGATCATTTTGACACCAACTTACCCTCAATGAGGCAATCACGTAGTTGTGTGCTCGTCCGACGTCAATGCTAAGCATGTACGAGGTTTCCATCAGATCGGGCACGTTCATACTAGGCGGAAGCGCTGGCACGTTGAAACTGGGAGTGAATGAATAGGTCTCGCCAACGACAATTTTTGGTTTTGTAGACGGCAATCCTACACCTGAAATCATTAGGCATGAGGCATTCATTTGGATCACCCCTGTGACAGTAAGTATGTTTTCTTACAAACCCAGAATTCAGGGTGACCGCCCGACCTACTTGGTAATTGATCAGTGAGTGGGCCCTTGCTTGAAAGCTTGACTGTGACGAAATACATTACGGTACAGAGACGAAAATATGGTACGGTACTTGGTCCTTCGAATTACCTTGCTAATACCCCTCGAATGAATGGTCGTGCAAGGGTGAAGGCCTTGGAATAGCTTTGTGTAATCGATCCGCCGCACGCGGCAGTCGCGAACCTTTTGCCTCGTTGTTACAATTCTAGCGTTCTTCATACAGCTCAAGCTATGCGATTATTACTTATGGCACAATTCTACTATTAGTTCTTGTGCCTTACCTGCCGCTGCATTCTGCTACATTCCTTCGCGCGCGGCGTCTCGCTCACCGCGACGCGACACTCTCGGTCCTACTGCACCACACCCGTCGTGCAGCTAGCTACCAGGCAACTGTACCCACCCACCCGTTCTACTTGGTGTGTGGTTAGGAAAAAGTAAGGGGCAACTGCTTGATTAGGAAATGTACCTGTTGTTTTTACCAAAACGGTTTTTGTGTCGATTATTGAGTGATCATCCACGAAGCAGCCGACAGCTTTGATTTTTTTCAAAATGCTCATATGAACATATTTGATGGATTGCTTCCACCTGAACAAAATAATTCAATGGTCATACCCTTTTGAGATTACTGTACAACCAAAAATCTGACCTATTTGTAATGGTAATTGTGGCTTGAAGTTTGTCAACGGATGAAAGAACAGCCTGTTCCAGAGCACATTCAACGAACAGACTTCGACCCCTGTGACGGGCAGACTTTTGGGAAGAGAAATAGTTTGAACATTGATCAAACTTACTTGGTCAATGGGAAACATTTTGAGTGAACGACTTTTTGACTTCCTACAGGACGTGCTATCAGCTGAGGAGCGATGACTATTACTGGATGTTCATGCTTCAGAAGTACCTCTTCATTGACATTCAGTGTTACCTGAATCATATATCATGAAGGAAAACTACCCTTCAAATCTATAAATCACAAACTTTGTGTGTCTTTTTGTTTATATCTCGTTCTGTGTGTCAGTCCGCAATGTCACGTAGACCCATTGGGAGTCACGTATGCCCGAGGAAAAAAGTGAATTGAAAAATGAAGTCTACTGTTACTGTTTGTACCAATTTCCAAATCATTACGAACCAATTTGTGACAACTTGATAGGGAATTATCTGTTTTCTTTCAGGCTCAGATGGATCTAGTTTGATTTTTCTAATTACAGGACAGTCAAACTCTCAGGAAACGGAGTAGGCTGGGGTAAGAACGACGTCTCTACATTGATATCGTTTGGTGTCCTGGTTCAATATCATTCAATTTTGGTTTGTAGTGCTAATAAAGGTGAATTACTTATCTTCAACCACATAGCTTATCAAACCAGAAACTTGAGGTAGTTGGTAGCCAATTCAGAATCAGATCCCTGGTCTACGTGCGTGTGATAGTGCGCCACTAGGCACACCCATCACCTTTAATTAGGGGGATTTTAACGTCCCATGAAAGTGTGATACAGTAACCCCTAGTGTCCATCAGCGGAGAACGTCCGTTGCGCGCGTCCGTCGAAAGTAGGTCATCCCGCCCACTTGGCCCGCGGCGCATCACACTGAGGTCTCGAGATGACATTACAGTACCACCAAGTCTCATTGGAGCAAATGATTTGCATTTGTCTGTATTACCTTCTTCTTGAACTGACCGCCGTGGACCAAACGCAAAGCGTATGCCCTACTGACATTTGCGACGTCTGTCAAGTATCGCGGGCCGACTCGCCGCGTGCGACGGCTGCGACGTGACCTAGTTTCGACGGACACGCGCAACGAAGCACACCCGTCCATCATCCACCTCCGTGCGCTTCACCCAGGGTACCTTTCTGTTGTATCGTATATGTAACGGATGTTTGGGGGCGCTTGAATGTGTTCTTGGGTTACTGTGTAACACATTCATGGTACGATTAAATCCGTCTTGTTCACCTTGATGCAATGATGCCGTGTACTGGTGCCTATGAAAGAAGACTTCAAATGACATGTTCCCATTCTGCCATTCTTCAAGTAGTATGGTAGAATTAATGAATAGCAACCTCCGGGTAGAAATTGATTTGAAAAGTGAAAAGAAAAATAGAAAATCAAGCACGATTTCTCTAGCTTGGTTCCAGTTATCGCGGCTGTAACCTCGTACGAAGCGAAGCGATAGGGTGTTTCAGATGAAGCTACTATGAGACTATGACACTTATGGAGGATAAAATTCCGGACCGACCAGGTATGGAGTGATGCGAAGGAGAAATGTACGATAGACTTCACTCGCTAATCGTGGGACTCAGTTTGCAAGCCTCCTTGTCCTTCCACTCAGCTTCCTAGATATCTAGCTCGCTTCAGTTTTTGTCGTTTTTACGAGGCAAACTCTACCACGTTACAATTACCTGCAAAGACCGGGCCTTGATCCCAACGACCGGCTCACTCATGCAATTAAGGCGCATTAATCTTTTTTCCAGGTCACAGATGACAGTTAATCAAAATGTGATCAAGATCTATACTACGTCATTGGTTGTACGTGCCATTTCGACAATATTTCTGCTTCATTTCTCGTTTTTGCCAAGTTGTTCGTCAAAGGATCCCAACCACGACGATTACTGTACACATTCATTCCAGACATGCTTTTTTTCAAAGTCTGTTCCCATCAACATCGTGAATTTGCCCATAGTCTAAGGAAATCAACCGTAAACCGATAGAGAAATAGTTTGATATGAAGATCGAAGTAAAAACTGGTTTCAGATGCGCTTGAAGTTACGTCATAGATTCCAAAAAGGAATTTTACGGGAAAATAAGTGTGGGAGCCATGTAGACTAGGAATAGGACAATAGGTGGGGGAAGATGTTAAGGTTGTTAATGATTCTGGCTCATTTACGACCCCACACTACAGGATCTTCCTAATCCGCATAGTTCGAAAGCGAGTAAACCAGAATGGTCACGATAGGGCCATTCTGGAACTGTTTGGGAGGGAGAGACTCGTTCTGTGTGAAGTGATTGGAATAATTTATGACAGAGTCAAGTTTGAAGGTTATGAAGTAGTGATGTTGAAGGCCACTGTATCCCAAGCGGTCACGAAAGTGAAGGATGATAGGGATATGCTAATTGTTGGGAGCAACCCTGACAAACGTGGAAGTGAAATCAAAAAAGTTGGAGCGTAGCTCTATGATGGCGCAAATGGTGGGAGCCCAAACACTGTTAACTACAAGTATGGTCTGGAACTATATTGTGAGTCGACAGCTGCTCAGGCACATTCAGCTCTTGGTCTACTATGTTCTTGTGCCAATGCTCGATTTCTCCGAGCCATCAAGACTTCCAGTCTTCGAGATCGGTAGACTACTATTTGCTTGTGGGGGATCATGACAATACTCCTGGAACTTCACCCCATAAGCCCGATTCTCGTGTAACTCGTACTAAGGCGTATCCCTATTTCGAGTGGAGTTGATAAGAGTACGTGCTGTGCTCAGCTTCCCCTTCGCAACCTAATTGAGAAGTCATGGAATCTTTGATCCAAATAACTAGGAGTAAACAAATAAGCATTTCAGCTTCCAGCTTCCCAAATGTTATAGAAAGAACTAGGGATGACAAAAGTGCGGAAGATTCGGAAAAGTATCGAACTTCTGATGTGATGGGAACGATGTTGGGTTTTTTTTTNTTTTTTTTTCGAGATGGGTTGAGTCTTTGTTGAAAGGATGAACGGGAAAATCATGACCGCTAAGATAGCTAAGCAGTAAAGCTGCTATGCAATGCCTGCTGCAAGCCAGAAACCAGTTGCCCCGACCTAAATATTGCAGAACATCACATAGGTTTCCGCAAACTTAGACCAGTTCTCGAAGATGATGGGTGGCCTTAGCGATCATGTTGACATGACGACAAAGGCTTGTTGTGAGCGGAATAAAAGCAAAGGACGGCAGTAGCAACAACCCAATGGCTTAGATATGGTACTTTGCGAAAGGAGTTATTAACAAGATAGNTTTTTTTCGAGATGGGTTGAGTCTTTGTTGAAAGGATAAACGGGCAAATCATGACCGCTAAGATAGCTAAGCAGTAAAGCTGCTATGCAATGCCTGCTGCAAGCCAGAAACCAGTTGTCCCGACCTAAATATTGCAGAACATCACATAGGTTTCCGCAAACTTAGACCAGTTCTCGAAGATGATGGGTGGCCTTTGCGATTATGTTGACATGACGACAGAGGCTTGTTGTGAGCGGAACAAAAGCAAAGGACGGCAGTAGCAACAACTCAATGGCTTAGATATGGTACTTTGCGAAAGGAGTTATTAACAAGATAGTTAGTGACCATGTAGGTGGTTAGACAGAGGGCATTGGTGCTTCTTTAAAGGGATCTAAGGATAAAGCATAGAAAACCCAGAATTTTGCCGTAGTGAAAATCTTCTACTGGCAGGGTTCTTCTAGAAGATATTATTTAATGCAAATTTCGTTCCATTGAAGCTTCGACAAAACAAGCGTGATCCCCCAATCCAAATCTTCCATAAAAACTTCCTCAAAGAGGCCTCAACCATGAAAGGGAAGGTTGATGAAGTTAATTCAGCCCTGCCCTAAGTGAAAGAATCTGCTGGCAAAATGCGCATGGAGCGAGGGGAAAGCGCTAGTCGTCAGTGGAAGTGTAGAAGGCTCTCAAGTAGCTACACCTCAATATCTGCATCAGGAAACGAGCCCTTTACGCAGGTACGGTATGACGAAGTGTCCACATTTTGCATTCTGCTGATTGCCTATTGCTACAAGCCCTTTCTACAGGTTCTTGACGTTGCTTCACTCAGGATTGTGCCATGCTTCAAAATCGGAATGCTTTCAAAAGCGTATTCCCTTTTACTGCGATTCACCACGGCAACGGATTCACATGAGCACTTTCAAACTCCCAGACGAACCTCATACCATGGAGGAAAGCTTGATACAACTCAATGACGGTGTTCCTGAGCTCATAACTTTTCTGACTATGGTACTCCTACGTACTAAGAAAACTTCCGCGTGTTCACTTGATTTGGTCAGCTTTGCTCGGACTCCGAATTGATTCTCGAATCTTTCGGCCAATTGCTTATAAATCTATGATTAAAAATGTAACACAAACTCACGGTAATCGAGTATTTCACGGCAACCGGGCTTCCTGGACAGTTGAATGAGGTTGCAAGATCGGAGGGTAGGTTAAATGCGAACCGGAACTGAGACTTACCCGTCAAGTAGCCTTTTTCGCAACGATTCTGAAAGAATACTGTTGGGATTACCAGGTTTAGTGAATTGGTCAAAAGTACCCACTGCATTATGGTCGAGTGGAGCCATGCCGAGCATTTCCTGTAGCGTACTGTAGTGCCAGAGTTCTTTGCCTTCATTTATGTACACCCGCTTATTGGAAAACGTGTAGAAGTCCTTAAATGGTAAAATTTAGTAAAAGTAAAATTTTGGAACTACAACTGAAGAGAACAGTGAATATGTATTCGTTTCGGACCGCGAGACAAAACGGCACATACCACTTTTTTGTAGCCCTTGAACGAGCTGCAAAAAAAAACTTGGGCCCCAAAAACGGCATTCTATCGAAAAACATGATTAGTGACTTTGGGAACGTCAATGTAACAAAAATGAGTGGAGGGTTTACAATATTAGGAGAATTCATATAGAAAAAATTAAATAATGGCTACGATGTAGTTTTCAAGAGATGCTACTCCTTCCGTTTCCAGTGGTACAGNGCGAGACAAAACGGCACATACCACTTTTTTGTAGCCCTTGAACGAGCTGCAAAAAAAAACTTGGGCCCCAAAAACGGCATTCTATCGAAAAACATGATTAGTGACTTTGGGAACGTCAATGTAACAAAAATGAGTGGAGGGTTTACAATTATTAGGAGAATTCATATAGAAAAAATTAAATAATGGCTACGATGTAGTTTTCAAGAGATGCTACTCCTTCCGTTTCCAGTGGTACAGCATTTAGGTCATGGACACTTTGACAACCTGCCTAAGAGAAAGATTTGATCGTTAGCCCCACTAGGAAAAGATGTTGGCGAGCCTTTCACCCTGTTACCACTAAATCTGCCGCTATATTTTATTCGAGGCAACCTATCTTCTCCTTGTACATCTGCTTCATAGAGCCTATCTCGCGCTGTCGCTTGATCAGCTTCTCGGTAAGAAACCATTGTAGCCCCAATTTTTTGTCGACCTTCTCGATTATGCTCCTCCATTCCTTCAGTGGAACTCATCGTGGTCGTCCAACCTGGGCTTCAAAGCCTAGTGCCTTCCTTTCGAGTAATCCAGTGCATTCACAGCACCGGTGCTACTATCGCAGTCTTTGACCTGAGTCTTCAGTCAGGTCAGCTCCAACGTTTTCCTTCTGAGCTGTATAGGTGATCCCAGATATTCTCCCTACTGAGGGGACCTATCACACTGACATTGCAAAAGAAAGAGAAAGAGAATTCGGGAAGCAGGGGGTTATGATGGAAAGGGATCTAGGAAGCAAAAGGTTGTATGTATGTGTGTGACTGCTGCAATTTCCCTTTGTTGGTCTTTCAGAGAAAAATTCAATTCTCCCCTACTTTTACTGAATATCCCAATGCCATGCTTCCCCGTAACCCTACATACCCTCTCGCCAAAGCGCTAACATTGCACTTTCCAGTCCACCTACTTTTTTAAACCCCTCACCTCGCACGGTACAATACCGGAATTCCGCTCACGTGACGGTAACGCTCCGCCTAATCCTCAGGTTTTTTAGCATCGTTTCCCCGAACAGTATAGGGAAGCTGATAAACAATGATTGCAAATCCTCCACAAAAGCGGCTTGACGGCGTTTTTCACTCAAACATTCAACAAATTTCGACGGATTGTCGTTCTCTGAGGGCTCCAGGAGTTCAGTGAGCCGTAAGGTTAACTGTGACAATACAAACACTGCTATCAAACCCTCTTGCGCAATCGAGGTACTTGGAAGTTTTCAAGAATCTTGAGAAGAGTTTGAGTTTAGGAAGAGGGCATAGCGCTTTCTCGTGACTCCTTCTTTTGCCAAGTTGAATTTTCCTAAGTTTACCTTGCTGACAAAATGTACAACTGCGTCTCCATACAGCCGAGCTTTGATACTGTCGATAGCGATTGGTTTTCGTGCATCTATGTTGAGCGATCCCTGGAAAATCCAAGTTCAACAATTTTCGAATAATATTAAAATATCAAATAATTCGAGCAATCTTCTATTAGGTCTTTTTTAATATAAATATATTTTGAAGTCGTGTTTCCAAAGGAACAAAAGATGCCTTTTTCCATGAAAGAACTAAACCCTTTGATCCTAATTTTCGGTATTAGATCTCCAAAAAGGGCTTCAAGAAGCTGATGCCAGTGACCCCCGTTGAGGTGCTGCTTAAATTGCCTCTGAGAATTAAGAGGCACCAGTAAGCCGCTTGCCACCAAATTTGAGGTTATAGGGCGTGGTGCAGTAGGAACGAAATTGTCGCGTCGCGGCGAAAGAGACGCCGCGCGCGGAGGAATGTAGCAAAATGCAGCAGCAAGTAAGAAATTCAGGAACAGAAAAANGTACCAACGCTAGAACTGTTATAACGAGGCAAATGGTCCGCGAAAGCCTCGTGCGGCAGATTGATTACACAAAACCGTTCCTACTGCCCGTCCTCAAGCTCTGAATGAGAGAAATGATACGTCCAGGGTCACATGAGCAAGAAGAGCTCACAATAGACTCCATTGGTTTGCGCAAGGACGATTGGGAGCATTACGGGTGCGCGTTTTAAGGCAAGGAAGGTGAAAACTATTTGGACGGCAAGTGATATAGGTGAAAGACGGGTATACATAGAACCTTGTTGGGAAGATACAGTAACCGCTGAGATTTGAAAGATGAGTTGGCTATGTCCTATCCTGTTCCTGTTTTATGTACGACAACAAGCCTCAAGCTGCTGGCTACCTTCCTCATACGCCTCTTTACCATTCTATTCCTTCTGATGAAAACCGCACAAATCAAGAAGAAATAAGGAGCTCTATACTGATAAGATACCTGACATTGAGCCTATTTTTCGACGGCATAAAAGCGCTACTGGAAGCACTGANGGGAAGATACAGTAACCGCTGAGATTTGAAAGATGAGTTGGCTAGGTCTTATCCTGTTCCTGTTTTATGTACGACAACAAGCCTCAAGCTACGGGCACCTGCCTCATACGCCTCTTTACCATTCTATTCCTTCTGATGAAAACCGCATAAATCAAGAAGAAATAAGGAACTCTATACTGATAAGGTACCTGACATTGAGCCTATTTTTCGACGGCATAAAAGCGCTACTGGAAGCACTGACATAATTTTGAAGAAAGGACCAGTATTCCCATGGGAACAGAGAGTAAATGGAGGCTGAGCTAGAATGCGCTGATGTAAATACGTTACCATCCGTTCCCCGTAATAAGGTTCGGCTTGCTCCAAAGTCCCCTACACAATGTCCGTTCTGTTTTGGTTAAATAGGGTTCCGAAAACTCTACTGATAGTTCAAATTGTTCATTGGTGTTGTCGGATTTCAAATCAGATCCGTTTTGCAGCATTGTTTGCATAGATCCTTATTGTTAGTCAGGGGGACGCAAATACGTACACAACACGAAGGAAATGCAAATGAAGAAAAACACCAGCCCACGAGATATCTGTACATTTTCCCTTGCAAATGGTGTACATTAGTCAAAATACTCAATTTTTTCGGTGTCTACGGCGATATTCTTCCTCTGTACACACAGCTCAATCGGAAGATGAAGGGCACGAAAAAAGGACAAACCGAGTATTTTGACTAATGTACACAAGAAATCGTACAAAGTGTGTTTGGGCGATGTTGGACTTCATCGAAAGGGCTACTTTAAGCCTTGAAGGGATGGCATCAAACAAAAGTCATGACAATCCCGCCCCCCTTGAGCCAATTCCGCCTTCTGATGAAATGTAGAAAGAGAAGGACGATGTGTCAGACGGAACTGTTCCTTACCTTTTCGGCTCAAGCCTTTTCAAGGCTAACAACTCAGATGAGGGTCTAATTTTATAATTTCGGTGTGTCACATGATGAAATGAATGTATTCGGGTGAACAATTACTCCACCTTTTCATAACTGCAAACCTCGTGGGGCATGCTACTTAGGAAATAAGGTAAAGGTGTGATTACGACCAAACTTTCACCGTCTATTGACTATTGGAATTTTTTGAAAAACATAGACCAAGCCTAGTTCAGTCCTTCCTCCCCATTGAGGTTAAATAGCTGAAAACAGATGTACCGGAAGGATTGAAAACACTGACTTGGTGAGTATACCTTCGGAGGTCTGCATACCAGCTCAGAATCCGAAGGGGCATCCGAAAGTCACTGCGATTTCTAGGGTGAAACGGGTGTACGGCGCATTCCGAAACAAGGCTGGTCAGTATGATTAGCTTTCTTTTATTTAAGAATCGTGATGTGACAAAGGTTGTTATTGCTTCTATGATACCGGAACCCATAAGGGCAAGGTGCCTGTTTATTTGAAGCCGACTAAATTTTGTTTGCCGAAATGAAACGGTAGAAGTGTACCTTCATGGCCACAGCCGGTGACACCTTTTTTTTAAAAAAATCAACTTTTTGAAATTTGATACTCATATAAAAGTAGTCGAACTCACTGTTAGTATTTGTCCAGGGGTATAGACGTCTTTGTCGGTACAGATTTCGACATATACACTATCCATTGAGTTAGTAAAGTACTGAAATCCGTCAGAAAAATAAAATGGTCAGAAGTTTCAAGTAATTTCAAGGTCTTTACCCACCAGAGTCTTTTTTTGTTCAATTCCTCTGTGATTCTAAGTTATAGTAGCTTTTTGGTGGTTAGAACACCTCGGGAGCTCTAGATTAACATGCAGGAGGTTGAGTAATCTGCAAGTGAACACTTAATTATTACTACAGAATACTAACTATTACTACCTTTACGATAGTTGAGCGATAACGAAATTCTCCGAATGAATTCCCAATAAGAGCTCAGCAGCCTTTTGTACCAGAATCCTGTGAAACAGAAAGCAAGAAGTGTGCTTCGATAGTTTCAAGCCTCCCATCCTATACCTGCACCTCCTGACTATCAAGGAGGCATCGAGGCAAAAACTTCAGGCACTCCTAATTCCTGTAATTCAGTAAGACTGTACTGGTCCCTTATAGTATTACAGCTTAAACGAGAAGCGTATTCATACATTGAAAGTTTTGGCTAGGTAATTATTCAAGAAGCTTATATTGGAGTCCAAAAAAAGGAGAGCATTTGTTCCAAATTGGGATCGACCTGCTAGGGAACTGTACCGCTTCAAATGGGCAGAACAGCGTTAAGTAGTAGCCCATGCCACGTGATACCGTGTTGCCTTTAGGAACAAACACGTTCCTCCCCAAAAAAAATCGGGACAACCTCTGGTTATGCAAAACGTCCTCGTCTGAGAGAGCTGACTTTCGCAAATGGGACCTTCACTTTCACACTTGGGTGTTACGTAGGTATTATCAGGGACTTATTCAAGTCAACTAAAACTCAGAAAGTTAGATCAGAAGGAGACCAAAACTTTTCCAAGACCACCCAGAACACCGGAATAGATGTTTCAATGATGAAAACGGATATTCATGGAGGGACGAGAAGTTCAAAGCCCCAAACGGGTAACATGGTCGAAGGTGTGGTCAGTGTGGTCAGTGGAGGTAATTCCTGCTGGGCACGAAAGGAAAATTGAAAGGAAAGAGGGAAGTTGGAGACCGTCACTAAGTTGGATCATGGATACACAAAAGTAGCATGTTTACTAGTTAGACTTGCAGAACTTCCTAAAAACCTAGGAAAAGATGGAGATAGGGCAAATGTGGATCGGTAGCGTGAAGACCCTGATAGAAAAGGGTCATTGGGAAGTTGCAGAGGAAGGAACTTGCTCTACAGCGTTTGAGATTCACGATTGTGGAAACTATGAGAGCTACAAACCCCACCTTTTAGGGAAAGCAATAGTGTTCACGCATATATTGCCGCAAAACGACACTTTACCACACTTTTATGTCCCGTATGGGAATCTTAGATTAATTATACATACAAAATGACTGGTAATAAATGGAAAAACGCCTCTGAAGTCATGAGCTGCCTCAGAGGAAAACCAGGACCCTCACAGGACCGGGATTCAGAAAAGGTTTTTCCGCGGAGAGTAAGGGGACCCCTGCACTCGGGATAAGGATAGTGAGGAATTTCTTGATTCTCAACCAAATCGTACGAAGGATTTACAATATGTAGGTCGCTCTAAATCCTCCTGTCGGAGAGGCCATCAGGAGGAACTCTTTGTCAGAGTAATTTCTCCTTGGGATACACCATACGGTTGCTTTCCTCGGAAAACCTCGCTTGTTGGGACCTCGTGAAACCTAGACTCCAAGGCAAAGGACACTAAGATGATAAAGGGAGTGGGAAAGGAATCCCCCATCAGAGCGAACTGCTGATCAACTGAAGTAGAGTCCCCGGAAAGTTCTAGAAGTGGGTGAGTGTGTTTGAGGTTCGGGATGGAAAGTGAAGAGCTGTCTGGGCAATCGTTGGCGTCAGCCCAACTGGTCGAACAGCGGGTGTGAAAATCCCCACCAGTAAAAGTGTTGAACTGAATGAACAAGAACTATCGAAATTCACCGCGACGATCCAAATCTGTAGCGTCGGTGATAATTTATGCGATGTATGAAGTATGAAAGTGCAATCCCGATGGACCTCGTCCTAAGCGCATTGCCTATGAAATGAGGGCAATCAATGCAGTGGCACAATCAAAAGCGATATCGGAAACGAAAAAGAAGAGCAACAAACGAAAAATCGCTGATTGAGCAGCAGCCGGATCGACCACGAGGGCTCCTATAGACGAGTGTTGGGTCGGGAGCCGGTTGGCGAAGAATGATTGCAGCAACCCGGACTGGGAGGCAAACGCGAACTCACGTCGCCCTTTTTTTTTCGTTGGTTTTCCGTTCGGAGAGCAGGCTCCGTAGAAAAAAACAAGTGGAGTGGTGGGTCAAATGGGTGTCAGGTGGGGTGGACGATTTTCGGGAAACAGACAGATAAGAGCAGACGGCTGATAAGCAGACCGTTTTCGTCGTCGTCAAAACAGCTGAGAAATTGAGTCTGTGACGGACGACAAATAATGGCCTCTCCGACTGGAGGAATTAGAGCGACCCCACGCACTGGAAACCTCCGCCCGAAACCTCTTTATCTTGGCGATCTCTAGGTGTTCAGTCCAATACCTGCCTGGATGCGGCTTAACACAGGGTGAACTTCTTCTTCCCGGAACAAATCAGCGCTGGGAGTACTACCGACCAGTGGCAAGCTGCATGTCGCGGATGTTCTAATCGTTATCAGTTCTGCAGGATCAATAATCGGGTCGATTCTGAGAATGTACTCGGTGAGTTCCAGTAACATTGGCCGACGTAGTAGTAAACGTTTGTGATTGTAATCCATTGTTGACATTGGGGAAAAACCAGTTGACAGCCAACAGAAAACTGGAAATTTTTCAGAACCCGAATGAAACTTGCAAAAAACCGATTCGCCGTGAGATTAGGAAAGAATAGCGAAAAAGCAGATGAACCTGGATGATTACTCCTTTTTGATGGAGGAAACATATGAAAGACAATAGGCAGCATGTTTTATGATTTTCGGATACGCCATGTGGTTAACATTCATTCTAAATCAGAGAATCGATGGAAAGCGTATTCTGATCAATACGATTAGGGCTGGCTCCTATTCGTATCTACATATTCAGGCGAGTCTACTGTCCTTCAATCGACAATAACAGAAGGGAGGGTCAATTCTTTCGATAACGACTCCAAGGGTAAGCAATAGAGTGATCTAACCTATTTTTCTACCGTCACGTTCGTTTCCATCTAATAATTCCTCATAGGAGCCCATCTTTCTTAGCAAATCTATCCAAGTCTCTTCTTATGGTTTTAAAAACTGGAAAAATTCGATGAATTCGGAAGTTCAATCCAAAAGATGAAGAACAGTAGGGTAATGACCTGGCTGGAGAATATCAGAGCACAAAAGAAGGCCAGTTACTGATAAGCCCAAAGCGTAGCTGTCTGACAGAAACGTGTTTTACTAACAAATGGCTTTCCTATAAAGATTATATGTGAGAGATCTTCACAGCGCTGGTGATTAATTCTTACCACAAGTGGTCAGTATCATCCCTATATGAGTTGCTGTATTCGAGAGGTATTTGGGACTTATGGATTACCATAATCTGCACAACAGGAACAGCATAGTATTTGAGCCGTCATAACATAGATGTGCGGGTGGTTCAGTGGTTATTATGAGGGCTCCGGTGATAACGGAGTTAATATATAACACAATAATATTGTAAGTGCGGTCGTCTATTATCGTCGCCATAGACGACGATAATAGACGTTAGCAACTAAAACTACATAAAAGTAAAAGTAGCCAAGTAAGCAGTAGTAAAAGTAGCAAAAGTGCAAGCCCTGAAGGCAATGTTCGATATGGGGACACTTCACAGAAAGAATGTTTATCATCAGACATCGATAAAAGTGTTTTTGATAGCTAGAAGAGGTACCAGGCAAAGATACACTCGGAAAAATCCAATTACCTGATTATTTCTGGTCGATTAGGCGATGTTCAGGTACCACAGAAAATACTTGTAAAAAGTAAGGCTCCGAAAACGTCCAAAGGGAAAATAGAGAGCGGATTCCCCGGCTGTGGCGTATAGATAGTGATGACAGCGTTAGATTGACAAGCACTGCATTCAAAAAAGCAAGGTCCTGGCACGATTACCTATGCCCTGTAGCCTCGAGTGGGTGTTTGAGCTGGTGAAATGGTGTAAAGCCGTCCATGTGGAGCGTGCCTAGCCTTCAATGTCCTGGGGTCTTGTTGAATTCCTCTAGGAATGTGAAAAGAGCATCTAACCAGTGGGGAACTTCAGGTTGATTCTACCAGCCCTTAGTGGACAGTTATTGGAGCAGCGGCCGAGCAGTTCTCCAGAGCATGCTTGCCCTATGAGTAGAATTACAAGGACTATCTGCAGTATTTTGAGGTCATGGGACGGCGAAAGCCCAATACTTATGAACCAAGATGGGGCATCTGGGCGGTGCTCCTGAGCCAGATTCGATCAAAGACTTGAAACACGATCAGCCTTGGTCTGAATAGATGTTTTTCCACAGGACAACATTTCTGTTCACTTCCATTCTGTGTTTGTGTTCAATCTCCTTTATATGTCTTTGTTCTTCGATAAAAATAGGTGGAGTGTTTACCTCGTTGGTTAACCCAGCCTGAACCACGACTTTGATTTACCCATGAGCAAAGCGCTTTATTATTTTCCCGACTGCAACATGTGGAATACACTGTCACAGAAGACCGGCTCCCACGGGCTCCCAACTCGAACCATGCCGGGACTATTCTGTACATCTTGATCTGTTCTTAATCATTGATGATTTGGGAGCGTTAGCCTTCTGTAAGCCTTCAATGAGAACGATTTGCAATTACCTACTAGAAAGATACTTTGACAGTTTCTCATCACGAAGGGTAGTATCACTTCTGATACAACCCTTCTGGATTTCCTCTGTAGAGAATGTAGCTGTTCGCCTTCCTTTTTAGTTTTTCCAACGTCCTGGAATCTTTGAAACTTCTTTGTTGTTTTCAACAGTCCATTACGCTCACTGAGACTTCTCTAGGCATGAAGTACAGGCCAAGTCCACTTGCAGTGGTAAACCAAAA